GCTTTAAGCCATGTTAGAAAGTTGTTACCTCATCAAAAACACAACACACTGAGTTTTGTTTCATTCACACATATTTGAAAAACCCTTTATAATTAGTCTGCACATCTCAAAATGTTCTGTTCCACCTTGTGATGTCACAAAGTGGTAGTTATCAAGTTAACAGTTGCCTTTATTTCAGTAGAGATTGGCAATTCCTCCGCTGAAATCATGCAAATGATACTAGTGAATGTGCATGGAGTTTAAAAACACAATGGTGCACTTCCTGTATTACCACATAACATCACAAGGTGGAATTCATTCATTCATTATTCACAATGTGTAGAACATGTGTGAATGAAACAAAATACAACTCCAGATATGTTTGTGATAAGGAAACCGCAGTACAACATGGATCAGGAAAAGCATAATAAGGGCCCTTTAAGAAACATAATTTTCAGCAGACACAATATCCTGTCTTATTATATGCTGTTGTGATTCTTTATTATTTCATATTTCAGTGCTTTTTCCAACATTAACGCTCCTGGACATGTGCACAAATTCAACTATAAAGACATATTTCAAATCTCGTCTCAATTGTAATGCTCATCAGAAGATATTTTTCTCAAGTAATTCAGAGCTGCTTCAGTGAGGTGCTCAAATTCTAAAACTGATATAATGTAGGGATTTTTCTCACACAATTATCTGCTGCATCTATAATCAAAATAGACTCTTTGCTTGTAGTTAGTTTTTATTCATATACTATTTTTGCACATTGCAAGTTGTAGTACAGCTTAGTTCTTTCTAATTTAACAAAAATACATGTATTTTAATGAGTGGTGTCTTTGCTTGTATCACCATAATACTATTGATACTTGCTGTGACATCATGTTGGGGGTGTTCTACATGTCTGTGTATGGCTGAATATTCAGAGGTTTCCATGGTGACAATGCACATATTAAAAAAACACTGCCAAAAAGTTTTAAATTTTAACAACCTTGTGACTGTGATGTCTGTTCTTTATGGTCAGAAAGCGTTAAAGGTAGTTCCTAATTTTGGACATAGGGTCTCATTTCCTGGTGAGCCAGAGTGTTGGAGACGTGTGGAGACACTTTTTTAAAATATTCCATCCAGTCCTTGTATTTGCAGAGGTCGCTGGTGCTAGGCTAGCGCATGTCAATGGCCATAGTTAGCCTACCACTAAAAAAAGTCTTACCCACTCCACAAAACACACGAAGAAAATAAATTATTACACCAGACTATCGAAGTAAATGTCTGTGTTGACAGAATAATGTGTGAAATAAAACTAACCTTGTATAGCATGAATCATTGCATATTGAGGGACTATTTTCTCATATATCAGTCCACCGCTGCCAAGCTTTCTGTCAGGAAGTACAACTCGTTGCTGCTGCTCAGACATAAATTATTCCAATACAAGGTTGGTTTTACCTCTAAAATTATTCTATCGACACAGACATTCAGTCTGGCATTATAATTGTTTTGCCTCCAGTGCTTTGTGGAGTGGGTAAGACTGTTTTTAGTGGCAGGCTAACTATGGCTATTGATATGCGTTAGCCTAGCACCAGTGACCTCTGCAAATACAAGGACTGTAGGAATATTTTAAAAAGTGTCTCCACACGTCTCCAACACTCTGGCTCACTAGGAAATGAAGTTCTATGTCCAAAATTCTGAACTGCCCTTTTAAATAAAGCTCAGATTAAACAAAGTCTCAGATAAAGCAGTGCCTACAGTTAGCATCACACCCACAGAGAATGTTTATGACATGTTATATGCAAAGTATCACCATAATGCTAAGTAATATGATCCGTTTTACACATTTAAATTCTTTTGCCAAGCAGAGAAATGCATTGTTGCCATTCTATTCCGAACAAGAGGATTAGCGCAGATTGTTCGAGCTCTGAACCCAGCACAGAAAACAGATGGTGACAATAAACACCCAGCTTTGTAAATTGCTGCTTTTCTGGTGGATGTAAGCTGTTTCTTTCACAAAACCTAAATGACTAAGCGCCATGGTCAAATTTGGATGAGAAATCGGTTGTTTCCCAGGCCAGATCCCACCTGCTGCACTTTGATAAACGCAGAGAGCCAGGCGCTGGCAAATCAGTGCAGTGAGATACATATGGTGGTGTAAAAGTTTACTAGAGCGTGCTGAGTACACATATATATTACAAGTTTTTAAAGTGCTACTCAAGAGTGGTTGCGCTGTTATGGGAGCCAGGGACTTACATGAGTGTGAAAAGCTACAGTGTGGGTCAGCTGACCTCAAGATTTCACCTGAACTAGAGTTGAAAACACTGCAGTGAAATAAATATTAAAATACAAGCAAAAATGGAAGCTTCACTCACTATTTGTTTGCTAATATTAAGCCTTTCTAATGCTTTATTAAAGATCCTATATTATGAAAAACAGACATTCAGTTGAGCTTTAAGCGATGTTATAAAGTTGTTGTTACCTTGTCAAAAACATACCTGGAGTTGTATTTTATTTCATTCACACGTGAGTAATGCTTTATTATTACTCTGTCCACATCTCCAAAGCTCAAAATGCTTCTTGTGGCATCATGTAGTGGTAGTTTTCAAGTTAACAGCTACATTTTACCTTTAGTTTAGTAGAGATTGGCACTTCAGGGGCTGAAAGTATTGTAGTGAAGGTGAATGAGTTTCAAAACACAATGGAACACTTCTTGTATTACCACATGACATCACAAAGTGTTTCCTGTTTGAGGGAAAAACTCTTAAATATGCAGGGTTTGTGTGATGAAACAAATCACAACCCCACGTAAATCTGTGATGAGGAAACAACATTATGAATCATAGATCAGAAAATAGTGCAATACAGTCCCTGACAAAAGTCTTGTCGCTTATCCATTTTGTAGAAACAAAAGTTTATAACCTGACTTTAAATTAATCGATTGGTTTTAGAAATGTCTCATATGAAAGCTAAAACCCTCCCAAATTATGCTCAATATACTAAAATTAATTTGCTTCACTGAAGAAAGATTGATCATTTAATGAACACAGAAAGGTCAGATTTTGACAAGACAAAAGTCTTGTCGCCTTGTCATATGATGCACACCCAATCCTAGATTACAGCCTCACCTGTGATCAGTTACTGATCAATCAGTTAGTGGGTGTGTATAAAAAGAACCCCAGCACACCAGACCTTCACATCAACTGCAACTTGACCTCTGACAACATGCCTAAGATCCACCCTGAGACCAAAGCCTTAATTATCAAGAGGCTGAAGACCAGATCCACTGCTGAGGTGGTGACACCTTCAATGTGTCTCAGCGTCAAGTACAAAGAATAAGAAAAAGATCTGAAATGACTGGAGATGTTTTTGACAAGCCCAGGTCCAGCAGACCCCGCAAGACAACTGCTCGGGAGGACCGTTTGTTGATTTAAAAATCCAAGGCCAGCCCCTTTTCCACTGCAGCAGAGCTCCACCAGGCCTGGTCACCTCAAGTCCCTGTGTCAACCAGAACAGTTTGTAGAATTCTGTCTCGAAATGGCCTCCATAGTCCAATCAGTGCACAGAAACCAGCACTAAACAAAAGGCAATTAAAAAACCGTGTATCATTTGCCAAGGCCCACAGCCTGCTAAAAGGATGGACACTGGAAAAGTGGCAGAAGGTGGATTTCTCAGATGAATCCTCGGTTGAATTACATCACAGCCTCCGCAAATATTGCAGGAGACCTACTGGAGCCCACATGGATCCAAGATTCACCCAGAAAACAGTTAAGTTTGGTGGCGGAAAAATCCTGGTCTGGGGTTCCATCCAGTATGGGGCTGTGCGAGACATTTGCAGGGTGGAAGGCAATATCAATAGCCTAAAATATCAAGAAGTATTAGCTCCTCTTACATTCCCAACCATAAAAGGGCTCAAAGTTTGCAGCAGGGTGGTGCTCCATCGCATACTTCTATCTCTACATCAGAGTTTCTCAAGGCGAAGAAGATCAAGGTGCTCCAGGACTGGCCAGCCCAGTCACCAGACATGAACATCATTGAGCATGTCTGGGGTAGAATGAAAGAGGAAGCATGGAAGGCAAAACCAAAGAATCTTGATGAACTCTGGGAGGCATGTAAGACGCTTTCTTTGCTCTTCCTGATGACTTCATCAACAAATTGTATGAATCATTGTCGAACTGCATGGATGCAGTCCTTCAAGCTCATGGAAGTCATACAAGATATTAAATATGGATCTCACAGCACCACTATTTAATTCACTGACATTATGCAACATATTTTTGTATTTGAAGTAAATTATTTGTTCAATTTTCTGTAGGCGACAAAACTTTTGTCTTGCCAAAATCTGACCTTTCTATGTTCATTAAATGATCAATCTTTCTTCAGTGAAGCAAATTAATTTTAGTATATTGAGCATAATTTGGGAGGGTTTTAGCTTTCATATGAGACATTTCTAAAACCAATCGATTAATTTAAAGTCAGGTTATAAGCTTTTGTTTCTACAAAATGGATAAGCGACAAGACTTTTGTCAGGGACTGTACAGATCCTTTAAGGCTTTTAAGTGCAGTTATCATAAGTGTAGATATTTTAAAGTGGATATTAAGCGGTTGTTAAGAAACTATTCATGGTTTTAGCTTTGTGTTTAATTATTATGACAATAGTGCTCTGAAAACCTTTAGCTTTGCATGTTTTTACATGTTGGGTCAATAGAATCTTATGTAAAACGGATGCACAAATAGATAGTGAATAAAGTGAGGAGTTACTGTCAGTTATTGTATAAAAATTACTGGTTTGGTAACACCTTAAGATAGAGGAGGTGCCTGATGAGAGGAAAGGCAACATTTTAATCAACATCATATAACCAGTCTTGTATTACTTGCTTTTTTTAGATAGATAAAAAAGTGAAAATGGACAGAAATTGGTCCCTACCATACAGCTAACTCATATCACCCATGTATTTATTCATTTTGTGTGTGTACTTTATACCTATTGAAGTAATACTCTTTGCAGTTTACAACACACTTTGCTGACTCACATCTTTTTGAAGTCACAGGAGGTGTACTCGGGCCAGTCGATGTAGCAGACCACTCGGCCGGGCAGCTGGTCAGTGTTGGAGTAGTAGTACTGCGGAAAGGCCAGGAGCAGAGCCAGGACCCAGATCACCGCCACCACCACCTTGGTCTCCGTGGATGACATGCGCTGCTGTAGGGGGTGGATGATGGCCATGTACCTGTCACACAAAACACAGGCTAATGCAGCAGAGAACGCATGTAGCATCTGGACATGACATCTGCTATATGCACGAGGTAATGCAGATCATTACAGCAGTGTCTCTGAAGAGGTGGAGCTGTGGGAGCTACCTTCAAGCTATAATAAATTGCAACCCAAATATTAAAATGAAACTCAATATAATAAAAGTTGTAATACAAATGTGTGGAAGTTTGACCATGTTGTGAAATGTCAACCCTAGCCTATTTCCTCAGAGTTAATTTAAATTTTCATGGGCATACCAGCTTGTCAAAGCCTGATCTCGTCAGATCTCAGAACAAGGCCAGGCCTGGGTAGTCCTTGGATGGGAGACTGCTGGGAATTTCAGGTGCCAGTAGCAAAAACTGCCATTGTGTCCTTAGGCAAGACACTTCACATACATTGCCTAGTAAGAAAGTGGTGTGTGTGTGTGTGTGCGCGAGTTTTGGTGGGGGTTGGAGGGGCCGATTGACAGGTTGGCAGCCTTGCTTATGTCAGTCTGTCCTAGGGCAGCTGTGGCTTATTTCATCAGTACAGAAAGTGTATTTCTGTTGTGAAGCATTGAATTACAAAGTGTTTTATGATCTACATTTGGCACCAGCCGGTTTCACTTCGTGGAAACCATCTGACCTCACAGCATTAGGATTCGCTTGCTTGAGAGTATGCGGGTACTTTTTTAATTTAACCAGTTGCTGTTTTTTGGTCGTGAAGTATGTAATGTGCCAAATCCTGTAGAAAGAACGGCAATGTCTTTCCCCTAGATAAAATTCACCAAACATTTTCTTTATTCCGACTTTAAATCCTCGATCTCGGGAATTATTACCAACACAGAAAGTATGGCTTCATCTCCATCTTGACCGCTTTGTTTACTGTTGAGCTGTACCACAAAAGGGACCCTGGCAGGCACTTGAGTTTGACATAATGGCTTCACAGCTCTTCCCTGATTGGCCAGTGCGCGGTCTACAACTTCCGGGGTTTTTGTAACCCGTCTAGTGTATTCCAATTCCTGACCTAGTCGCTGGAGAGAAATTAAATTGAGCAGAGGCACTAGGTGGCGCCAGCCTAGTAATTTGGTATTTTGGTTCTCACAATGAGTTTCCAATGAGAAATTACAATGAGTCATGCATGAGTCTATCATTTGAGTGGCCAGTTTCAAAGCTGAAAATCAGTTATCCAAAATGACTCTCTGATCTGAATAGTCACTATCTAAACCCAGGCACCTGCACCTCATGAATCAGTGCTAGTGCAGCCTCATCCGAGAATGAGAAAACACTTGTATGTGCCCTCTATATATGCATGGCAACACATTCTGAGTTGTGACTGGGAATTGTAAAAACTATAATGGCTACAGCTCGCTTTCTAGCAGACTGACAAACACAGCACTGGCAACTATTTGTTTTTCAAGGTGAAATCCAACTTCAAGGAGTTTTCAAGGATGTCTGAGTCCGTCCTGAATATTTGACAGTTTTTAATTAGCTCTAATTGTTAAGCCCATCTTGTGCTTGTAACCTTGCTGTAAGTCTTGCACACAGATAAACAGGATGACTGAGGAACAAAATACAAATTAACACAACAAAGACTTAGCTATCAATCCTGGAACTACACCATCAGGCACATCCGACCAACAACTGTTTTCTTTTAGCTCTATAGTGGTGCAGTTCAGTTTCCACCCACTAACTGGCAGGTCTGCAATCTGAATCACACCTTGTATCCCTTATCAAAACTCAACCATATAAAAAAATGAAAATGCATTTGTTTTGTACAGCGCTTTTTTTTTTAACTCTCAATGACGTTGATGTTTAAATTACCATAATCCTTCACTTCATAGCAGTTGTTTGTAAAGCCACGTCTGTAGTCACATCTGTCCTGGAAAAGACTCAAAAAAGCAAGACTGCAAATCTGTGCCACACACAATGATATAGTAGAAAGATGGGCAAAGTGTCTTGCCTAAGGATATAACAACAGTACAGTCTAATTTGAGCTAGGATCAAAATACAGATATATTGTATGGGCAGCTCTTGAGGTCAAAATACTGTATGTCTACTGTCTACATCTATGATAAAAGCATTTTCTTGCCATCATGGCATTGTCAAGTGTTAATCTTATTCTGTTTTAGAAAGCTGTAGAGGATGAGTAAGAAAGATTCCCTTGTTCTGCTTGTGAACTTCTCGCTTACAAAGTGTAAAAATACGAATCGTGTGAAAGTCATGAACTTAAAATAGAGCTCTGTTAAACTAGACAAGAGGTGACAAAACCTACAGGAAAAAAGACTCACACTCCCACGATGCAAAGCAAATAACAGGGGTGGACTGCTTTGGTCTATACTGGTCTGAGAATAGACAATGTACTAGTATATGAATAATAGAATAAGTGCAGCAATTTTAATTTCAACTACACATAGCTGCTATGAACTGTAAAAGTAGACATATTAGATTTTTTTAATACTGTAAACAGACCACCGTTAGGTTGAACTGAGGTGTTTTTTCTGTCCCATCTATGATGTATGCTTTAATATGCATTTCACTGAAATGTGTCCTTTCAACCCAGATACTATATCAGAACTATATAAGACCACATTGTAATATTTAGTAAACTACATGAGGGCGACAATGGCTCAGAGGTTAGAAACAGTTGTCCCCCAACCCAAAGGTCAGAGGATTGATTCCCCCTTGGACAAAGTTCTGTTGTTGGGTCCTTAATAGGGATGTAACAATATTAAAAATTCTCAATACAGTGTTTTCATGATATACATCCCACGGTATGATATTTATTGATATATTTTGTAGATGTGAATAAAATTGTGAATATGCTGCTTTTCCTTTTACAATGCCTTGACATGACTTTTGTTCTGTCAAAAAACAAACAATTAAGATATAAACGATGATGAGGATGATGAGGATGAGGACGAGACTAATATTGTTATTAGTATTATTAGTATTATTTTTCTTCTATTCTGCACTGTAATGGAGCAAAGGATCATGATATATGTAGTTCACTCAGTTTATTGCTATTGCTGCACCAAAACAATTAATTTAACCAAAATAGACTTATTGATATATTGTGATGGTTCACGGTAGTATTGTGAGACTTTTGACAATACAGTATTTCAGTTATTGTTACATCCCTAGTCCTTAGGCAAGACACTTCACCTACAGTATATATACCATTTGTGTTATTCTGAATGCTTTAGTAAAATCAATGGAATACATTGCAGTAATTGAGCACACAATTTACACTTTGAACTGTGTAGTAGTCATGTTTTACACTATAATTTAATGGAAACTCAATCTGAAAATATAAAAGTATCCACAGTACAGGACTCTGATTTGATTATGTCACAGAACACAAATACATTCTAATGCAGGTATTCAGTATTCTGTAACTAAATACATTTCCAGTATTAGTATTCTTCCCAACACTGCTCATGGAATATTGTTAACCTCTTTGCCATCCAAAACTATACTCTAACAGCTACTCTTTAAAAGTGAGTCTAAACTTAGCATTTGCTTCAATTATTCATCCCATTATAATCAGCTGTATGTAATATTCATGCCACAATCAGACCAGCATGAATAAAATGTCTGCATTCTCGTCATTAACAGGCAGCCTCATCAGAACACACTGGTTTCAACTTTTTATTCCATTTCCGCTCATTTAATAAACCTAGATGAGGCTGTGACCATTTTACCAACACCAGTGAATAATTAAAGTCTTAATTAAATTCTGCAGATATGAGTAAAAATATATTAACAAAATTACACAACATTAAGATAGGACTAAGGAGTAAACAAATTTTACACCAGAAAATAACAAAAATGTATTCATATCAATCTTAAAGGGACAGTTCGGAATTTTGGACATAGGACCTCATTTCCTAGTGAGCCAGAGTGTTGGAGACGTGTGGAGACACTTTTTAAAATACTCCATCCAGTCCTTGTATTTGCAGAGGTCACTGGTGCTAGGCTAGTGCATGTCAATAGCCAATGTTGGCCTGCCACTAAAAACAGTCTTACTCACTCCACAGTGTACCGAGGTAAAACAATTATAACGCCAGACTGTTGATATGAATGTCTGTGTCGAAAGAATCATTTTAGAAATAAAACCAACCTTGCATTTGAAGGATTAATGTCTGAGCAGCAGCAGCGTTGTAGTTCCTGATAGAAAGCGTTGTACTTCCTGATCAAAAGTTTGGCAGTGGTGGACTGATATATGAGAAAGTCCCTCAATATGCAGTGATTCATGCTATACAAGGTCAGTTTTATTTCACACATTATTCTATCAACACAGACATTTACTTTGATAGTCTGGTGTAATAATTTATTTTCTTCAGGTGCTTTGTGGAGTGGGTAAGACTGTTTTTAGTGGCAGGCTAACTATGGCCATTGACATGCACTAGCCTAGCACCATCGACCTCTGCAAATACAAGAACTGTATGGAATATTTTAAAAAGTCTCTCCACACATCTCTAAGAAAGAACAGAACAGCTAACTAGGATATGAGGTCCTATGTTCAAAATTACGAACTGTCCCTTTAACTAAACTGAAAGTTGTTGGGGTTTTTTGTTTTATTTTCAATCTTTGACACTGAAGTCTAAATTTTTACACAAAATTTCAAAACTTGTCACTTTAAGCATTAACTCCTTTTTGCTGAACTTAAAGCAGAACATCAGCTATTTAAACTCAGATTGCAACTGTAACACTCTCTGGGCACATGCTATAGAGGGATTATCAGACTACGTCACTTGCCGCTCTACTGCGCATGTCTCCTGCAGAAAGAGCCTCTGTCCTGTCTGTATCATGTCAGTGTCCAGGATTTCAGCAGATTTCAGGTATGAGCGGATGTCCGGCTACTGAATTTTGAGATGTTTCTTCTTGTCATTTACGCACCCACCCGCATTTGACACATACGGGTCATTAAGATGTATCCCACTCACTGATGTTCATTTAGCATCATAACTTATTTTATCACACAGCGATAAACTGT